TTAAAATCGATCCGAAATCTGATTGGTAGCCAATGAAGGGATTTTAGAATTGGGGTGATTCTATCACTCTTTCTCATGCTGGTCAAGAATCTAGCAGCGGCATTTTGAACCAGTTGCAATCGATTCAGCAAAGACTGAGAGAGTCCCAAATATACCACGTTACAATAGTTCAGTCTTGATGATATAAATGCATGGATGATCGTCTCCAAATCCCTAGGTGAGAGCATAGGTTTCATTTTCGCTATTAATCTTGGGTAGTAGAAGCTACTTTTCACCACAGCACTCACTTGTTTTGTAAACTTTAATTCAGAGTCAAAAAATACACCCAGATTTTTTGCACATGGGTGGACATTACTGGATTGTGGCCCCAAATAGGAAGAGATGAGTGGTGAAGAGCCAAGAGGGCCAATAATCATTTTATTATGATTATGCAACTATAGGACCAGAAATGTGGTATAGAAAGTATATTGGTTATTTCTTTAATACACAGCTGTATAGAGCATGACTTTGGACCAGTGAGATTTCATTGTGACCAGGCCAACCAACTGCAAACTGTTGAAAATAAAAACCAAACGACCGACAAAGTGCCTTGATATGTGTGGCGAGCAGGACGAGGTCGAGGGCCGTGGGAGGACGCCGCGAGGCCGGTGGCGTGATTACCAATGAGCGACACCTGCGCGACGCACCCAGTGGCGTAACTATCGGTAAGCAGGGTACGCGGTTGCTTACGGGCCCGGACCAATCAGGGGCCCGCTTGACTGGAAGATATTGATTGACAGCCGGGGCCCCCTATCGCAGATTACTACTTTTAGTTTGATCGCATTTTACTTTATCACGATTTTGTTTTAAATATATAATGACAACAACATATTTTACAGATCATTAAATACATGTGTGAAACGAACAATCATGGATTTTGGTGTAATTTGTTTTGAGCTGGGACTGGGGAATCCCCGGGTCGGCTGTTTAACGTTACACGCGCGCGCCACTTCATGCGTTTTCTCAGATCGGATAGCTACTGATTTATCAAAACGATTCCATTTACAGCTGGTCACATAAATGTGTTTTTGCAAAACAGATATAGATCCGATCTTCAATTTCCGCGCTATATGCAGATTTAATAGAGTTCACGTCACCGAAAGCAACAGATGCTGCATTTTATTGATCATCAGCTAAAATGTCTAAATCGTAGACCGCAATTAGAGAGAGCGGCAACAGTACTGGTAAGATCATTTCGTTTCTTTACTTTTAATGAAGATGATTGTGTGTTAAGCGAGCGTCTGCGACTTACTTTCACTTTGATTTGCGATAGTTTGTGCGTTGGCTTGATGAATAGATGCTCATCTGCGGTGATGCGTGTTGTTGCAGAAGCGTCGTCATATCTGACTATGACATATAGCCTATACCACGCTCTCACACGTTTGTTTATTTTTTTTTAGCATTTTTAGAGGAGTAAAATTGACATATGTGGTTTCAACAACCAGATGTATTTACACTTGTCCAGTGTCGTCTGGAATGCGGCCCAGACCACCTCCTGAAGTGGTTTGAGCGACCGGATTCAAATCCGTCTCGAATGCGTTTCGAAGGGAATTTACACCTGGTCTTTTCACGATCGGATAGCTATACGATCACAGAAAAAGCATGAAGTGGCCAGGTGTAAACAGTTCCTTGCGTATTGCATGCAAAAGCCTACTCGTGGACATTGCGTCATCACGTGTTGTAGTAGGGGGCCCGCCTTGATAATCCTGCATAAGGGCCCGGTGTTGGCTCGTTACGCCACTGGACGCACCGGTCTCGTATCTCTCACGGCCCTCGACCTCGTCCTGCTCGCCACAATATGCAAACTATACTGTTGTCAGTCATGGCTAATTAGAACAAAAAGTCAAGTTAATATGAATGAGATTTATGTGATTTGCAGCTCTGTTGTGTTTGGAATGGCTGGGACATGATGCAATATGCTATTTTTGTCCTTGAGTTAATGAGTATAATTTTGCTGTATATCATAAAGTAGATTGTTTACTAATATTGTAACATGCGACTTCTCTCACTGTAAACCATTTAGCTCTTTGGCTTGATGCTATGTAAGGTCAAATTCTTGGCACTCCAGACATCCATGAGGGGAACTCCATGCTTGTGGTTCTGAATGTTTTCAGCTAGTAAACACACTTGAATCTTGTTCTTCATCAAAAGTCAGCGTCCATAGAAAGTTTTTCAGTTGATCGGCAATAATCTTGAAATGCAACCCATTTAAAAGAAGGGTTCAGCACTTCATTACTTATAACACTGGAGATTTGCCAGCATGAATTTTACATATGTGCACTGCATACTGTAATGAAATGCTTGCAATGCTAATTATTAAAGCTAGTGCATCTTTGGGAGCTAATGACTATAAGACCCCATTAAAGGAATAGTTCCCCACCCCAAAATAATATTCTGTCATGATTTACTTCCTCTCAATTAGTTTTGAAGATTAGATTTAAAAATAAATAAATCTTGTTTTGTGTTCCACAGAAAAACATTACATGTGCATTTGAAATAAGAATAACATGAGGGTATGTAACTGATGACAGAACTAGAAGATTTTGGGGGGTAAACATTATTTTAAAAAAAAGAACAAAAAACACCCACAATTACATTATTGAGCAAGTACATACATGTCAATTCTCCGTAATGCACTTTTAGCCTGTGTAGAGTAACGTCACATGCCAGCATCAATGCTCTCCGTCAACTTTAAACTACCCTGATGTTCATTGTTTAGTGTGAGAGTGATCAGGACACTTTGCCAGATGTTCTCACAGTGAGCTCCTCCACCTTTGGCTGCAATGTTAGCTGTGTCATCCTGACAAATGATCTGAAAGAACATTACGTTAACCAGAAAGTACGGCATTGGGGTCATTAAAGTTTTTGAGGTTTCAACAAAGACTTTCATTTTGTAACTTATAAATCTCAACCACAGACTCCGTCTATTGAACATTTATCCCACCTCAGTAGTTCTCAATGCTTCATTTATCAGCATCTAAACAAACAAAACAAGACAGACAAATGATTAGTTGGACATTTCACTCCCTGCATCCCTTATTGGCTGTAGGAGAATGAATCTACGCCTATGTTTGTGAGGAAACCTTCCTGTTCGTGAGTTTCGTGTTAGTGAGACATCCGTGTGCATGACCGCGGCATGGCACTGGCTTGCGGAAACGTTGCCAGCTATATTGACTACATTCCTCTCTCAGCTCCACCCCCGACCCACTCACTCATCTGAGACGCCTGTGTTTGTCCAACCACTTGTTTTGCAAGATGAAATGGCAGCAAATCAAGCGTTCGAGTCAAATGATTCTCATGTGTTTCCCTCACATTGGTCCGCTACATGCTTTCTCCAGCAGAGCTCTGCATTTTCATGTCTTCCACTCTCTGTTATGTGGTTGTTCTCATCCCCCAAGTTTCAACTTTGTTTACTGACAAACCATATTGACGAAAAAAATTCAAACAAAACCAGTATTGTTTCTATAATGAGTCTCTGCAATCCCAGAGTTGTGATTATCTGTTTTTCGCAAAAAACATCCGCCCACACTTACTCGCTGTGTTATGGTGTGAATTGCAGAAAAACTTTGTTGATAAACGGCAATTGTTTTTCTGCTATCAACCTCGTAGTTCTACAGCGGCTTATGATAATTATTTGTATTTCTTCTGTAAAGCTGTGCAGTTTGTGGGCTTATAAGGGATATGAGATGAATTAGCTGCCATTTTCCAGACATCAGCGACACAATGCCTCGATGGGACGCCGCTTCTCACAGTGACAGTAAAATGATCTTTCCCTTATTAAACGCCTCCATCCTTATAAAGGTGGGTAATATAGTCTCCCGCTTTTACCTGGAGGTGGGAGCCGCATTAAATATTAATTAAAAAAGTCACATCAGGAGCGCCATGGCTATATCAGTCTTCCCAGTCTTCAGGCGGAGACGGAAGCGATAAGTAACTTTATTACCTCCATCGTGGATGGAAGGCAGGTGGTAGGGGAGGAATAGGGGAAAAGAGGGACTGCAGAGGGGAAAGGGATTCATCTGTTGTGCAGACACTTTCGTGTTTCTGTGACAAGACTGATTTCGCTATGTGAATAGGGGTTTTGTGGAGCAGAGAGAGAAAAAAAGAGAAAGATTATTGCAAGAATACAAGAGTAGTCAGTGCTGTGAGCTGAGGTGAAAAAGTGAAAACGAGGGTGGGGATTTTTGTGGTGTGGATTGGTGCTCTGTGATGCTTCCAATGTTTAATTAAATCACTGGGGTTTGAAACTCACATCCTGCGCCCAAAATCACCCTCTCCTTGTTTACGGTGTCCTGTTAAGGAATGTATTGATGTATCGATGTAGATCCTTTCTTCAAGATTTTTAATGAAGCTAAGCTAAACCTTATTAAACATACAGTACTCTTTGAGTTAGGCTCAACTTTTTAATTAAGTTCGGAGCAAAGATTACACTTGGGTTTTTCATCAAGTTCAGGCACTTCATGTCCCAGGGGTTGACTTTTATTAACTAACAAATTTTAACTTTCTTTTTGTCACTTTAAAACTGTCCCAGACCCCGATGGAAGTTCCCAAAATCTACTTAATAAATAAATGTTATTGAATATTGACACTGTTTATAACATTCTAAAATCAGTTTTCTGAATTTTTAAATGAATACATTTATTGAGTACCGTAATTTCCAATGATGTTGATGTTTTGTCAAATTATGCAAAAGTGTGAAAATATTGCATGCATTAAATAACTATGAAATTAAAATTGGCAATATTATTATATTTTATTCTAAAAAAGGTTAAAATGTAATTTCCATTATTCCCACTAGGTAATGTAATCAAACACAACGCATAATTTGAGATATGGCTAAAAAGATTAAACGCTGTTAGTGGACCAAAAAGTCCAAAACAGAGTTTTGCCCACGTTTCATGTTATGCATTGAAATGTGCTTTCATTTGAGCTGACCCTGTTGTTCTCTTTGTCCTCTGCAGGTATGGAAAAATAGTGTCAACAAAGGCAATCCTGGACAAAAACACCAACCAGTGCAAAGGTGAGTACCGCAGTCAATATCGGCTTGAATTAAAAACATGCTCACAGAGCATTCCCAGTCTCACTTAAAATAATCAATAATCCTCATAAAATGACCGCTTTTGAAAGAGTCAGATTAGTCGGGAGATTGTCTGGATGATCTTTAGAGGCGGAAACGTGTTAGCGTGATTGTGGGTGAAGTCTTTACAACCGGATAAGACGTTAGCGTGACTAACAGGTTTAGCCATGACAAGGAAAAGCACAGGGTTCCTCCTGTGTTGATTTGAAAAGTCCGGGCCTAGTCGTGGGTGTTTAAAAATAGCCATGGGGCGAAGGAAGCGTCCGGCTGAAATTGATGATTTAGCAGACAGCCTCTTTTCAGGAAACACTCAGCCGGTGCTGTAAATAAACAAGTCTTCCTACACAATCTGCCAAACTGGCTTCTGCAGGTTTTTCTCCTGTTTTGTGTGTACGTATACGTCTCTTTGCCATTCTTTCTCTCTGAAGGCACATCTAATATGTCCGAAAATGAGTATTAATGCCCACATGGGAAGGGGAGGGAGGGGGTGTTTGGGAAGCAGAGGAAACCACTCCAGGCTTTAGAGGACTTCCACTTCCTGGAGTTAACTGCCCTCCTACTCTGCCAGGCTCCTCCACCCTGATGGGCTTCCAGCCAGGACTTATGGGAGCCAAGGATATCAGACAGGAAACGAACAAAAAGATGGCTTCGCTTCATTCACGGCTTTGCTGGATCTACTTATGTTTGTTCTGCCTGCTTCTACGCCGTCCTTTTTTCTTTTTCTTTCTTTTTTGCACAGGGTATGCAGTATTCATTTCAAAGATATGTTAACAGTTAAATGATTGCAATTACAGGCCTATCTGCCATAGATTGATCCCATATGATGGAGTAAACCATCGAGAGTTGTTTACAATCAAGTTTGTTCGGTCCGTTTGCTTCTGGAGATCATTTGTAAGTTATGAAGCTCCGCAACGTTTTAATCACTCTTCTTACATGGGTTGTTGGCCGTTCGTTAAACACGTGTTTAAATGCATGTTTGCTTCGTGTGTTTTGAATTACGCAACTAGACTTGGTAATTATGAACTTGTTTGTGCAAAAAAAGATATTTTCAGTTTTAGACAGCTGTTTTTTCCCCTCGTCCGTAATGACAGATGAAGAGAATGACGGTGGTGGGGGTTGTGGGCAACATTGAGGGTGTGTTTGATTTTCTCTTTTACTCAATCACGAGCCTCTCATTAAACTGAGTTAGCGTAAATATTTGCATGTTGTTCAACACACCAGCACGCAAACAAGCTCTCTCTTTCACTACCTCGCTTTCCTTTTCTAATTGGAATTATGTGCAGAGGAAGAAGATATTGTGCACAGCTTCTTTTTTTTTTTTCTCACAGTCTTGATATCCAGAGGAAAAATACGGAGAGGCAAAATAAAAGAAAGGAAGAGAATAGGGCCACTCATTTGAGGCACATTTGTATTTATGGATTTAATTACGTAAAGCTTTGAAAACCCTTCCAGGCAAAACCCTCATCTGCGTGATGTCTACACACAAACAGGCTCTTTTTATCTTTTTCACCTCTTTATCAAGCTTCTTTTCAGGCCTTTTTCCGGTCCTGGGCGTCACATTGTTAATAGAAATTGATCCCTGCATTCTTCAACTTGAAACCTCTTTCTCAGCCCACTTCCTGATGGCTGCTGTTTAGCTCTCTTGGTCAGTGACCTCAGGAATGCTTGCAGCGATCTCTTAAACCAGAAGTGTTCCTCTCTCTGGATCAAGAACAGTCTACTGGAAATCCTTTTTCACACACACGCTCTGTTTTCTTAGGCTTATGAAACATCTGCATTCTTTGGAACATCTGGATGGCTCTGTTCTCTGCTGTAGAGATCTTTCTCCCTCTCCTTCTCATATCCATGTTTACCGGGAGACTTCAAAGCGGATGGCGTGTTGTTCTATATGTAAGGTGTGTGTGGGTGCGTAAATGAACACATATGTCTGGCATATAGAGCTGTTGGCTTGAACCATTCGCGGGCTCTCCAAAGCTCTGTGCTCTGGCATCTGTGGTTTCGAATGTCAGTCAGGCTTTGAGAGTGTGTGTGTTTAGAGTTTAGAGAGGCTTATGGTGAGAATGCCTCTGCCGAATGAAGACACACTGCCTCAAATGTGCCTCAAATGTACCGAGGGTTTTTAAGAACCTTCGCCACTGCAGTTTTTAATACGATATGTCGTAAAGGAAGTCATGGATCTTCTATCTCGCTTACTGCCAAATAAATGTTTGGTTAAAGAGCTGGGTGACGAAATGGACCCTACTGGAAAAGTAGCTGAGTTTTAAAACATGGTAACTGCTTTCTTGCTGGTCTACGCTGGCTATTAGCTGGTTTGCCATGAACCATGTGTGCATATATATATATTGCACTTGAATGGTTTAATTTGTACTGAAGCACAGCCAAAGGATGACAGAAAGAAACAGATGCTGGGTAAATGGTTCTTTTTTTTTTTTTTTTTTTGCCAAATTAACACATTACTTTTTGACAGCCCTAATACCAGTGTGTTCTCAAACTTTTTGACCCCACTCCCCCAAAGGCATTGTCGGGAATCGGAAATAAATTGAGGGAAAAAACGGAAATAAATAAAAGTAAAAAAAAAAAAAAATTATAATTAATTTAAATACTTGGAAGTTTGCTGAGGCCCCCTAGTGGACCCTGAACTCCTGATCAATAACCACTTAAGGGTTAGTTCACCATAAAATGAAAATTCTGTCAGTAATTACTCGTCGCTTGATAAACTTAAGATTGAGCCACTGTAGTCACTCGGACTATTTTAACGATGTCTTTCATAACTTTTGGGCCGGCCAGTTTCGATCCCTTAAGAAGCCTATGGAGGAGTGATCCAGCTCTCAGATTTCATCAAAAATATCTTAATTTGTGTTCCGAAGATGAACAAAAGTCTTACGGGGTTGGAACAACATGAGGGTGAGTAATTACTGACAGAATTTTCATTTTTGGGTGAACTAACCCTTTATATATGTGTGCGTGTGTCCATGTCCGTGTGCGTGCGTGCGTGTGTGCTGTAAATTGTCAAAAAACTTCTATTCTATACCATTTTGTAGTATAAATAGTGCGAGTAGTGTGTTCACACTGAAAATTACAATTACGGTAGAAAAGGTGCACTTTGTAATGCCCGCATGATGCACTTAAACGAAAAAGCAATGTGTGGAATGTTGACACTTCATGAGCTCAACTGTCACAGCTTTAATTACGTCACGGAGGGGGAGGGGCTATGCTATGATGTTGAATGACAAAATAACCTTAGAAAATGTATACACTACACAGTGTATACACTACAGTACATAGTGCGTTTAGTATAGTTCGTCATTTGGGATGCAACGATTTAGTTTTTTTAACTGTTTTGTTAACTGGATCAACCGAATCATTGGATCAAATTTGAAAAAAAAAATGCTCATGAACTCTAATGAACGTGGCAATAAGAGCAGTGATTAACTGCTTAACTTTTGATCTGTTCACCAGACAAAGCTATTGTATGACTTTAAAGACTTGGAATATAGTGCATGAATGATAGTTTTTCTCTTTTATTATATTTAAAAGAGTTGCCATTGTGCAATATATGTAAAAAATGCACTTTTTGCTTTCCACAAAGAAAACCATATGAATTTGGAATTAAGTCAATGTGATTACATAATAATAGAATGTTCATTTTTGGCTGAACTCTTCCTTTAAGCTGGATTTTCCAGCAGGGGTGAGGTCAGGCTGAATCCTTCTCTGTCCTGTTACTGAGGAAATAGTTGACAAGCATGAGCCTTGAACAAAATGGCCGTTTCCTGTCTCCCCAAGCACACACACAGACACAAGCGGCTGTGTTCAAACATGCAGACTCTCTTGTGTCGCCACGATCAGCATGATAAGACAAACAACAGACCGGTCTTGTTTTGACCCATGCATTTTGAATCTGATAATTGTGTCTGATAAGGTCTGATTAATGTCTGATAAAGAAATCTTCAATTTTTGGCAAAAATATGTGTCTTATAATGTGTATAAATATCTCTTATCTCACTCTTACTCTGTATGTGTGTGTGTAGGATATGGCTTTGTGGATTTCGACAGTCCGGCGGCGGCGCAGAAAGCTGTAGCGTCCCTGAAGGCCAGTGGCGTGCAGGCACAGATGGCAAAGGTAAGCTAGGCTTTACACCATGTCTAAACCAGGTTCACAGTGGCATCTTTCTAGCATCAAGTCTTTTTTTCACAGAATAGAAAGGAATTAGGATACCATGTATGTTGCTACTATATTTCTGATTTTGGTGTCACTGATGATGATAATGATTATAGAGAAGATGATGACAGCTGTGATGGTGAATAAGTATAGGTATGATTTTCTGGAAGTGGTGGAAATGGACTCATGTAGCTTGATGTCCAATGTGTGCATTCAGATGCACGCACAGTTGTTTAAAGCATCTGTCCTCTAATATTCATAAGCTTGCGGTCTGTCAGGATGCAGATGGTTTGTGTATCTGTGTATCCCATTTACATGCATGCCTGTCAGAACTCTCTGCAACGCAGCAGGCCTCATATGAAACAGACAGGTCATCTTACAGAGAGGAGGAGAGGGAGCAGGGAGTGAAAGAGGCATGTTTGCATGTTTCCTGTGGTCAGAGTAATAGAATTTACCATTTAAATTGAACTCAATCAACAGCCTTTGTTGCTTAAGGTCAATTACCACAGAAAATAATTTCGACTTAATAAAAAAAGGTTGAAGTTAGTTCAACACACTTATGCTTCAAATATTTTCGATTGAGCTTAACCCTGGTCATAGCTTTTTAGTGTGGTCAGCTTACAGGCTGAAACTGTTTCAGCAACAGTAAAAGGTAAAAGGAGCAGTTAAAGGTGCAGGATGTAGTATTGACAGCTAGCGATTGAAATGGGTTCTGCAGTATAAATTCAAAATATTGGAGAGAGCTGTTTGCCCCGACACCTCGTCGTCAGACTCGATGCTCACTAGGGGTGTAAATCGGACTGTTCATCACGATACAATATGATATCGATTCTCTCAGCCAGCGATACGATATTTGCCAATACCTAAAAAAATTCTGCGATTCGATTCAATTCAGGGCTATATTGATTGATTTAGCGATATTTAGAGATTATGTGCCAAGTTTACACAACCAGTTACATTTTTATTAACTCACAAATGCAACCAAAATATATAACATGAACGTTTAATTAAACTCTTTGAAAATTGCACAACCTCTCCCATTTGGGACATTTACAACAGAAGAGTTCATTTGCAAAAACAGATAACTATCAATCAAACTGCAGCTGGGTTGTTTTGATTAAGTAATAATAATAACAACAACAAAATACAGAGTTAAACAAAACCAAGTAATTGCTATGATATATAATAAAACACTCGATTAAGCTTTGTAAAGTTAATCTCCTCTGCTGACATAGACGCCTGAGAAACTTTATTGTTGTGATTAGATGCAATACAGGGAGCTTTTCCATCAACACTGTAATATGCTGCTTTAGCAAGGTTCTGTGAAAAAGTTTCAGCTTTTATTTTCCTTTTACGCCCCGAAGAAGATATCACAGGTTCATCAAGGTCATTGAAATGATCCATCCTCGATCCATCCTGACTTTTAGTCAGCTTTGACGAAACTCCTCTCAGCTAGCGCGTCATTTCGAAGTGGCTAGCAGCCTTGTCACCTGACCTGAATACTGTGCGCTGATTTGCTAAAACGGACTTATCGGGTTGTGTTCACAAACAACAAGGGTGCTTGTCGGTTTCTGCTGTAAAATACGACTTTGCGATACCTTGACAGTGGACAATACCGGCTTTTGTGACAAAACGTGTTTAGGGTTCAGTCAATTTTGTCAGGCATCTATTTCAGATGAGGAGATTAACGTTACAAAGACACACCGGCAGACAGTATGGTGATTAAACCAAATGCGGAAATGCGTAGACGGACATTACGTGAGGATGTGGAGAGTGTCAAAATAAAGGTACCTCATATTGATATTTTACGCGTGGCATCGATGCATCGTATTGTTAGACGTTTGATCGATGCATCGATCCATATCAATGTATTGTTACACCCCAAATGCTCACGTGGTTTGCAAATTTTTGGACACGCAAAAGGAGCGAGCGCAATTGATAATGGAAGGAGATGAGGCTTACACTGTGAGTTTATGAGTTGATTCATCTGCGTTTTAATATGCCTCTGGTCATAGAGCTTTTTAGATGGATGCCGAGGCTTTTTATTCGGGTATAATCTGCGATCTCTGATCCAGTTCGTTTGCTGGCTTCCATGGTTGCAATACGCTGTGTTTTTCGTCAACTGGCATCCTGGGGTGTTGAAATACTATTGGGTAAATTGGCAGTGGGCGGGATCACACAGACCAAAACAAAAACAGACTGTCATGGAACGCACATTTCAAATTGCTGTATAATTGGCTGTAGCATTGTTTTTGTAGCAATTATGTGAACTTCGCATTTTTCCTAAATGTTTATTATGCTTTAGTACAGTCAAAAAAATTACATGTACAACACTTTTAATAATATATGTGGCCATTCATAGGCCATTCCAAAACCTAGTGAGCTACTGCCTTCTAAGGCCCTGTTTACACTAGTGCTTGAAAACGATCCTCGTCCATACTGGCGTTTCCATTGCGTTTCAGAAACGATCTCCGTCCACACTACATGACTGAAAAAGCATGTCACATGACCTTTCAGGTACACCGGGCATGCGCATAGCGCAGCTGATTGGTTGCTGTTACATCAGCGGCCAATGAGCTGCGGCTCAACATTCAAATACTGGTAGTGTTGCTGTTTGCAGTCTGAAACACTTCACCTTCCCCAGCTCCACCTGTATAGATCTGCTACAGGGGTTAATTCATGCATGTTACATGTGCAGCTACAGCATCATGTCTTACATGCTCACAGCAATGTCTTTGAATGAATTGGCAGTAGCAAATCTCAGTACTTGCGATGCAGCAGCAGCAGCGTAGCAGATCTATTCCGCCAAGAACAAAATACATTACCATTACCAATATCTATTACCATTATTATGCCAATCTCTCAGAGAGTTGTCATGACAGAAATGCATTTGATCTAATCTTATGTTTTATGTGAATGTTATGTGTATGGTATGTGAATTTGTATAGTGTATCTTGCTTAAAGGATGTTTTTTTATTTTTTTTTATTTACTGGAGACAGCAAGGCAGCTCTCTATTTTGTTGAGCAGGGCTGTTATTTAAGTCTCATTTTAGCTGAAAATTTGAAATTGATGAGTTTTATGAAGAAGAAGAATTTGATTAGCCACCTAGAGTTAAACAGTGATTGGTTTGTAGAATAAGCCAATCAGCAATGTTCCCGCCCACCAGCACCTGCTTCATTAAAAAAACAGTCAGAGCTGATACTCTATTTATTTTCTCTCTGTCTGAATATGAATTTCATGGAAATAGCTGTGTAATCTAAACATCCAAAGTTATTTTCAAATTTAATTTTCACCGTGCTGTGCTGTTTTTAGTGGAATTCAAGAGGAACAGAAAGAAGCGTTCAGTCCTTCCTTGGTGGAAGAAACCAAAACTAAACTGTTATTCAGAGGAATTTACGCTGCAGAAGACGGCCACATACGTCTTTTTAACAATGAGAGAAGGGCAATTAAAAGAACTAAATCGCTTGGCTTAAGGCTCATTAAATTAAACAGGAATGCAATCGAAGAGTTTCCCTCTGCCCTATTAAACCTATTTTCATTAAGAATTCTCTCATTTTAACAATGCCTCTGAGCAACAAAACTACCCTCTTAAACTTATTTCACCAGTCTATCAACCGTCTCCTGTGCTGGTTGCTGCCTATTGTGGAGAATGTCTACAAGGTCAAAATGTGAAAGGACATATTCATGAGAATTCAAGATACGAAGAAGATGCAAACAAACCCATCTAGTGTTAATGTTCACCTTTAGATATTCAAAGAATATTACAAATGTAATATTTCGCAATGAAATGTACCTCAGAGGATTGTAGAATACTTTAGTGTTGAAATATTTATGGGACAGGAACGTGCATTAATGCCACAGAGAAATGTGAATTGAAATGGTGTATGCTAATCTAAGGAAAAATATGGCCCCTGTAAACGGACAGTATAAAAATCTGTCTCCTGAAAATGTTATTTTATAAGTCTCTGTTGATTCATTGAAGAAAAAAAAACAATATACTGGCTTTATATTATCAACTGTGCTTGTTATAGGAAAATTGACAGGTTTACGTTAGAGGTGGTACACACTTTTTTTTTTTGTAACGCTACATTCTTTTTAAAAGAATGTAAAAGTTATTATTATTATCAATTATTATTGTTTGTGTGTGTGTATACTGCTGAAGTCAGTTTAATGAACATTTACTGTCTAGTGTTGTGGGTTTTTAAAGAAACATTTTTTTCCGGTTTTCATTACATTGTTATGTGGATGCTGTTCAAACTTCTAGTCCTTTCTGCGCTTGTTTGTTGTGCTGGTTCTGCTGTGACATTCTTATTGTGTCTGATTTTCTCTAAATGAACTAAATTAACAACGTCTCTTAGTACTTATAATAAAGAAAAGTAAAGACTTTTATTTCTCACATTTAAACAAACAAAACTAGTTTGCTTCAAGCAGGGACGTTGTTTGGCAGGAATGCGTTATAATTATGATGCCATAATGAGGTGCTAGTATGTAATGTTGTAATTGTGTGGAGATGAATTATTCATGAGGCAGTATTTATGTAAATTGTTACACATACGTTAACTGTATAACTGGTACAAGGGAGAAGCAGAGAAAGTGTGTGCGAATTGTTCGAGTTGTTGCCTGCAGACATGTCCTTCACATCTGAACATCTCCACATACACTTTGTGTTTCCACATGCCTGCTGGTGATGCATGTTTGTATGTATTTCCCAAGAGAGGACTTTGGTTTGAGTTTCCAGTTTTCCACCCTGTGTAAACTCATTTTTGCCGGAATCTTTCTACGAATTGCGAATGGAATAGAATCATCATGTAAAATGTCAAATGTTCTCAGAGTCTGCGGGTGAGGGCTCTTTGTATGAGTGCTATTGGTGTGTTGTATTGTTTTCTGAAATTTCTTCTTCCCGTGATGGACAAGGAACAAATGAAAGAAAGGAGAATAAAAGGATCAAAGACATTGTGTG